TAGGGCCAGTCAGAGCCCCTCTTCTGTTGAAATCATACTACAACTAGACTCTTTAGAAGAAGAGGAGACTGGATTCCCCCCCCCCAAACACACACAATGAAATAAACTTCCAAGCGTGCATGATTAAATTAGAAATAAATAACTCATATCTTATTGGATTAATGGTGATATAGGGTGGCAATAGAGTTAATGAGAATATTTAGCTGACTCCGGAGCAATGGTTGGTTGAGGAGGTTTGAAGTTTGGCATTAAAGGAGATGGTGATGTGGAAATGAATTTATGCCTTACGTAGAGTTTAACTCACAGTTAATGATTTATGGAATGAATTTGGGATTATTAGAAAATTGTTTAGCTAACCTAGTTGCTGTCAAATAATATTTCTGGTTGAAATGTCGACTTTCAATGATGTTATAATCTATAAGCTATTATGTATTTGTTTATGATTTGAAAACCCAATAAAATATATATTAAAAAAAGAAGAAGAAGAAGAGACTGGATTTATACCCCGCCCTTCACTACCCAAAGGTGTCTCTGAGTGGCTTACAAACTCCTTTCCCTTCCCCTCCCCACAACAGACACCCTGTGAGGTAGGTGGGGCTGAGAGAGCTCTGACAGCAACTGCTCTTTTTCAAGAACAGTTCTTATCAGAACCACAGCTTGCCCAAGGTTATCCAACCAGGTGCAAGTGGAGGAGTGGGGAATCAAACCCAGTTCTCCCAGATTAGAGTCCGTGCACTTAACCACTACACCGAACTGGCTTAGATAGATAAACAATGCAGGTCAAAAAAGCCTATTCACTCTGTTGGAACTAATATAGAAAAGATCACAATAAAAATTAGGCAGACACAGGTCCCTGCCACACGGGACGGCTGGAACGCGGCTAAGCAGAGCCGCACCAAACTTAACACGCCGCGGCGGATTCCCACGGATCCCCTCAGCCGCAGCGCATCGCTCCCCGGCCGCACTTGCCGCGGCCCATCCGAAAGAACCACCTAGGGAGGTGGTTCTTTTTTGCTGCGCTGTATGGGCGGGATGGGACGGATCGGAGACGGAAGCACGACGTTCCCCAGATGTTGCTGTGGGATCGCGCCCATTTGCTCCGGCCCTGATCCGTCCTTCTCCCGGCCCAAACGGCTCGTATGAACAGGACCACAGATAGGCTGTTAGAGAAACAGCAAACATTACCTAGAAGGTGTAAAGGGCTAATTATAGGAAGGCTCTTTACAAAGAGAAAGAGGAAACTTACAAAGAACCTGTATTTTAGTGATATCATTTGTCTGCCAGAAATGGGTCGGGGTGGGATGATTTGCTTAATACCGAAATTATGGTTGCCTTTTTGGGGCGGAGCACAAAAAGAAAAAATAAATTTTAAAAAAATGCAGTAATAAATAAGGCTATTTCCTCTACAACAACTAAATCTTTTCTGCTTAAAGGAGAAAGATGCCAACATAGGTATAGACTTGTGTGGAGGGGAGTATGCTACCAATGTAACCTTCAAAGTGGGATAGTATAACAACTTGTATAGCCCTTGCTCCTGTGAAAACTATGAAAGAGCTGAATTCCTTCCCTGGATGCAAATAGGAAGCCATTTTTCAAGTCTGCCTAAGTTGCCAGACCTGAAGAGGAAGACTAGCAGCTGTAGCTTGTTAAAAGAGCTGGAAAGTGAAGGAAGCCATGCAAATAACAAACAGAGCCTTGCTGGCATGGGAGAAGTGTTCCTGAGAAGGAAAAGGAGCTGTTCTGTGGTCTCTAATCCACCAGATATTTGAACCAGGCCATGGGAAAATGAAGAACTAAGCAACTGAATGTCTGGCTTTTACATGGGACTATATATTGGCACCAAATACTGTAACTAGTAAGAACTGTTTTCAATCCTTCCCGGCTTCTGGATCACTAGCTGGATGAAGCTGCCCTGTGGCTAAAGTAGCAGCTTATTTTACTCTAACACTGACATATTTATCCAAGTTATAATCACTACTCTGTCAAGAGACGGCAGCCAAACATACAGTAGATAGCCTAACTTGTGGGCAAAGTTAACTAGTCAACTAAAAGCCTACTGAAAAGCTTCACAATACCTCCAGCTGTTAATTTGCATTAGTTATGGGAACAAGACTTTGAATTTTTAGGTGCACCAATGACAAAAGTGTGTCAAAGCAACAGTATTCTAAAAGAGAGTCCCTGCTCCAACAAGTCAGCTGAACTACATACCGAATACAACTGGCAAGAATACTTTTATTTTTTATTCTAAGTATTTTATTGATGATTTTGAATAAGGGCTGTTTTTCACCTGTGGCTCAGTTCACAGGTTATTCTTCTGAGGTGGAAAGACATGGATGACATGCTTGCTCTGCTTATCTTGAATTCTGAAGGAGGGAGGGGGCTCTCCCCCACCTGCGTTCAGAGCAGTTTGTGGATACAGAAGAAGCTTCTGGGATTGGCAGGCTCTTATCTTGCTGCAGGCTTATGAGAGAAGAAAGGAGTGGGAGCTGCGGCGACAGTCTCACTTCCTCAGGGATTATGACTTAAAGGCCTAAGTGATTAATTGGCAAGACCAAATTTTGATCAGTGAGGCAAACAGCTAAGAGCACACACTTTTTGAAGGAATTTGGTTCCTGAATATTACTTGACACAGCTAACTTGAAATACTCCCAAGGCAAGCTCCAAGACTGACTAAACACACTTCCTTCTATTTGCTATCCAATTGTTGAGACAGGACTGAACTACCTTAAGTGGTGTGAGACTAATTTCAGACGGCCTTTGATGGCTTAGATTTAATGTTTGCAAGGGTTTGGAATCTGCCAGAAGTTACCCACTGACACATCAGATCACCACAGCCACAAGAAAAAGGGCAGGCAATGAAACAGGGCCGCAGAGGGTTGGTCTACTAAACGTTACAGCAGGAAAAATGGGGTGGGGGAGAGACACAAACACAAATGAGACTTCTTCATACCTTGAGCCATTTATAGCCTAAATGATTGACCTCATGCATTCTTTCGTTTAGCAGCTTCAACAGGCAATGGAAAGCAGAATGGCGGAAAGCAAGGCAAACAGAAGAAAGGGGAAGCATGCAATTAGAAGCAGAATGGTCAACTTAAGAATCTGTACATTTACAAGAAGTACAAAGCTACATATGCCTAGGGTTGATGTAACAATTTTAACACATTAAAATACTCTTCTATATTTAAAACACAGAACCAAAACTATCACCTTTATTTTAATGTTTTCACTCTGAATTCTTGAAGCACTCCTCACAAAACAAATTAAGACAACATTGAAAGGCCATATTTCCCCCAAATTGAAAAGAAAATCCCTCCATAGGGAGCAATAACTTACTGCAAACTATTATACTATACAAAGAAGAAGAAGAGATTGGATTTATACCCCGCCCTTCACTACCCAAAGGTGTCTCAGAGTGGCTTACAAACTCCTTTCCCTTCCCCTCCCCACAACAGACACCCTGTGAGGCAGGTGGGGCTGAGAGAGCTCTGACACAAACTGCTCTTTTTCAAGAACAGCTCTTATCAGAGCTACGGCTTGCCCAAGGTCATCCAGCCAGGTGCAAGTGGAGGAGTGGGGAATCAAACCCGGTTCTCTCAGATTAGAGTCCCCGCACTTAACCACTACACCAAACTAGCTCAAAGTTTTGCAAGAGAAGGCAAAGAGTTAATGAAAGGTTGCCAACAAATCTCTGAGTAAGTTGGTTCAGTACCATTTTAAGCTATATTAGATAGTATATTTACTTAGCCCTGAATAGGGCTGCCAAGTCTCGTTGAATCGCAGCGGGGGATCGTCATTCTTCACAGGAACTCTGCCGCGGGGGACAGCAACAGGCGTTGCACCGCCGTCACCAGGATGTGACGCTATGCGTCGCTCTGGCAACGGTCCTGTTGCCAGAGTGACGCGTAGCGTCACATCCTGGCGACGGCGGTGCAACGCCTGTTGCCGTCCCCCGCGGCAGAGCTCCTGTGAAGAATGACGATCCCCCGCCGCGATTCAACGAGACTTGGCAGCCCTAGCCCTGAATATACATACAAGAACATTTAAAAAGCCATTGTGGTGTAGTTGTCGGACTGTCACACTAGGATCTGGGAGACCCAGGTTTGAATCCCCATTCATGGAGGCTTACTGGGTGACCTTGGGCTGTTCACACTCCCACAGCCTAATCTACCTCACATGGTTGTTGTGTGAAGATAAAACAAAGGAGACGAGATGGATGTTGTAAGCCCTTTTGGGCTCTCATTGGGGAGAAAAGTGAGGAAAAATTATGTAAATGATATAAATACATACAAACAAATCTGTTCTTCCATAGGTAGCCTGAGAATATAGCATCCCTCCAATAATTATGGAAGTTACACTGTTGTTATACAACTAACGCTGAACTTAATTGCCTTCAGAAAACTTTAGGTGACTATCAAGGAATAATTTTCCACTGAGAATACTGCCATAAAGATCCCCACCCCATCACTAATTTTTTTAAAAAAATAATTAACAATTAGATCCATCATGTTTATCAACGGCTTTATTAACTGGGGATTCAGAGTACAATTTTTTTTTAAAAAAACACTGTTACTAATGTCTGAAAACTGCTGAAATTTTTGAAACAAGAAATCCAACAGGTACATTTCCCATGTTGCTGAAAAGGATAATTGAAGAGGTAAGCAGGTGTGGATTGTTCACCCAGAATTATTTTTAAAAATGAACAGGCTAAGGAAGAATCTGTAAGATATCTTACACAGTGCTAAGTCACACAGTTGGCTAGCTATACTCAGTCAGGAACATGTCTTTCAGGAGGGCACCATTTAGGAGGACACATTTTGACATTCAGAAGAGACCTAAAATTAGTACCTGGATCAAATGTTTGAATATGCATTAAATTTCACAAGCTGTATTAGCTCATGCCTGCCAAGGCCTTTAGGATCCTCTGATAAGGTGCTGCTTTCCACATTACATTGATACACAAAAAAATAAATACCAACACCAGTGACTGTAAGTGTGCAGACCTGTTTTTCAGCATGTGTCCTGGCTGATTCTTCTTGTGCCAGTACCATTTCCCGCTCTGCTGTTATTTGCACACTCTCTCTTAGTGCTTCTTCCAGCTCCTCAATCCGATCATCTTTTTTACGTAGATTGTCCTGGAAAATGACGGGAGATCAGATGAAGTAGCTTGGATTTAAAGCACTAGAGCAAATCCACACAGAGCCATGCCAACTGCAAGGCATTCCCCAGCGAGGAAATTCCACATCAGCTGCTTCCTTGCACAAAGGAAGAGCGAAGATGTAAAATTGAAGGAAGAGCAGAAGAAGGTGAATGCCACAGCAAAGAAGATGGTCAGCAAGAGTTAGCAAGAGATAGTAAGCAAGATATCACTGTGAGTAGATTTGTAGGTTCTTTTTTGAGATCAGTTAGCACAGCTAACAAGCTGTGCACAACAGACACATGCAGCTCCAGAGCAGGTTAGTAGACAGTTGATGTGACAGAGCAGCAAATATCTGGAAATCCTTCTCATGCACTCACACCTTGATAGGCAAAGTATACCCAAGGAAGAAGTGCAACTAGCAGCCAGTGATTTCCTCAGAGAAAAAATCAAAATGGAGAGTAACATAAAGAGCTCTCAACCGCTTTCATCAAGTGTCTTCATATTAACTTAATAACGTGGATAAGAATCTATCAGAAAGCTTGATGGAAAAAATAAAAGGCTAGAGGATCAAAAAAGTAGTACTGCAACATGCAGCTTTTTATGGTTTGGGTCATAACCAAAGTAAAGCCTCTCTTACATATTCAAGCCAGGTTTGTAAGAGAACAAAATGTTTACCCACAGATGCTTGTTTGAAATTTGAAAAAAGGACCTCAGAAGTTTAAAGTTGTACTAATCTGAAGATGCTGAAGTCAATTCATAGAAGAATGTGAACATTTCCTGCTTCAAAAGGGTAATGGGGATAGAAGAATGAAATGGTCGCAATTCCTTGCATATGATAATGAAATCACCATCTATGGAAAGCCTTAAACTTAGTTCAGACTCAAAATAAATGATGGAACAATTTCATGTACGTGTTGTCAAGATCTCTCCAGTTTGGCACTACTTTAAGTATAGCCTGTGCCATTCCCCCAGATAGTAATCAGATCTTAAAATATCAGATATGGTAGGATTCTCTGAAGTTCAAAACTAGTATTTCACATAATAACTGATAAGAATTAATAAGAATTCACACAGTAACTGGTAATAATAATAATAATAATAATAATGGAAACAGCACATTTGGTTCCTCTGGAAATCCTCTCAAAATGATGAAACATTCAGATTCTGAGGAGCTGAAACATAGGTAGTAAGAAATTCAAGAACAAGGCTCAGTTTGGCACCCTTAATTCTGTTAATTGATAAAAGTGATCATGACATCTAAGATATCCATCTTGGTGCAGCATGGCACTTTAAGTAAACTATTAATGATTCTGTCCAAGTTCCAATCAGTTCTTTCACTACTGACAAAAGAATGGCAAAAAGTCTTTTGGGTACAGATAAGAGGAGTGCAAAGACTTGGCATTAGTGTACATTAGAAAAGGGAAGAGCAGATGGTAATGGAGCCCTAACAAAGAAAAAGAGTCCAATTACTAAGGGTAACACCCTGCAAAGATTGTGGGCTGTTCCCAATAATGACCATTTTAGTATCAAGAAGACTGTACTTACTTCCTACATCTTCTGGAGCACTGCTGATTAAACCGTTTTAATGCTCTCACAGGTGCTTAGAGTTAGAATTACCCTGCCCAGTCTGCCTGAGACAGACAGTCCTGGAAAATTACAGTGTAAAGTTCTAATTGCCCCAGACATGGAAAATACTCATTAGGTTGTCTATGTTATGCCAGAATCCAGACTGTCACAATTGGAATCTTCAATGGTATCTCCAGTGCTGTATTAGAATACCTGTCTGGTTAAAGCTGATTTGAGGAAGCAAGAATGCACAGTTGTACTATGGATTCCTCTATTTGTAAATCAAGTATATGTAGTAAGTTTTGTAATTCATAAGAATTACTGGTATATGACATGATTCCATTTGCAGATTTAGAACACAAGCATTACTTACAGCATAATGTGTCAGTTAATGAGGTAAATTTGACTCATGTTTTGTAGTTTCTCTAAAGCAGTATGCCTGATTAACTCATACAATTCAATTCAGTTGTACAAGTTAACCTTGTTTAAAGTTTTACTGAAGTTTAAAAATATGAATCAAACAGATGAATGTTAGAAGCCTATGATTCAAAGTACGGAAAGGAGTAAAACAGATTGTGAAGATTTGATTCTTTTATATACACATTTATGTTACATTACATATTACAAATTTCATGAATAAATACAATTTTAAAAGATAGTCCGTATATGAATGTGATAATGCTTACAATATTGCTTAAAATGTTATTCAATTAATCTTTCAAAAAGTGACAAATATGGTCATGTGTTACCAGCAAAATATCTTTGTATACTGACACAGTTGTTAATAAAATCAGACTCTGAGCCATATTTTTCAGTTATAAGTGTGATGTTTTACTCTCCAAAGACAGGCCTTCTGGGTAAAGTCAGGAAATTAATCCCTTTTTTGTTCTGCAGTGAACCATCCCACTGGATCCATGGAGCAAGCATCTATGTCACAATTTGCAATACATTTGCCACCTTCAGGAGGCAAACAGAAAACTGTACAAGTTAGACTGATAATGCTGGAAAGCATGTGTGACAGACAGGCTAGGTTCAGCCTCTCCCTAAAAGCAGCCAATGAGAGCTGTGGAATGTTGAGAGCAGGAGACTTGAAAAACAGGAGTTGAGAAATGACAGGGGTTAGGGGCAGAGGAGGATCGCTTAAGGGCTGAGGTGAAAAGGGTTTTTCTAACTGAGGGGAACTATATAGAAGAGCTGCTTGGAACAGGCTGAAAATAGTAAATTTGTAACTAAAGGATCCTAGTTGTAGGTACAGGACCGCAGTTCAAAATTTCAATGGAAGTGAAATGTCCTTACACTTTACTTTCCTCAGTTCTTATAAATAAAAGTGTTCTTGTTTGAGTAACCCTGTGGGCTGCATGTCTAAAGGGAAGAGGCACACACACATACAATTTAATATCTTGGTCTGTGTACATATATTCTAGGATATGAATGAATGGTAGCAGCGAGTGATTGGAACGTGTTTGAGCTCCAACCACAATAGCTCTGTGTGAGTGAGGGCTGATTATTAAAGGGGGCCGGGCTACCCTGTCTGTGGATGTCTCTGTGAGTGAGAGGACCTGAGGTGTGAGATGGTCATAACTCTCTGTAGGTTTTAAAAGAGAAAAAAAGGGTGGTGCTACCTGACCTACTTATAAATCATAACCTGATGAAGGGAGGTTATAGAGGATGGTAGGCACTCTGTCTCAGTGGATAAGGGACATCACAGCATGTTATTAGCAATATAGCACATCTTATTTGACTGAGCCTGAGAAATGGTTCTGCTTATTACACCTGATTGCTTTCAGGTAAATACAATGGTGGATTTGAATAACAAGACCCTCAGGGAAAAATCACATCATTTTTAAAAAGCCTAAACATTTATTTATTTATTTAATTGGGTTTCGATCTCGCCCTCCCTGCAAACGGGCTCAGGGTGGCTTACATTTAGCGGCACTATGTGGCAAGATACATTAAACATATCAATCCAGATAAAAACAAGATAAAGCAATCATATTATTAAAATTAAAGTGCTTATAGAATTATAGATCAGATGAATTTAAGATGAGTGGGGTATGGGTATGGTGCCCCCTCCAATTGGCAGAATCTGCCAGTACAGAATGGGGGCAATAAATGTATATGCAGGTTGAAGACAGCCCCTTTTTAAAAGCCAAAAAGGTTTAGAATACCATCTTGAGTTTGAGCTTAAATTGTATTTGACTATTAAATGATATTGTTGAATTAAGAGTTACTAGGATAAACTCGTTTTTCTGACAAATCACAAGCAGCTCTTGTATTAACCAAACTATTTTGAACTGCTATTTTATATTCCTTGAAAAGAATACATTCCATGGGGAAGAAAACAGAAAATGACCCTATATCCGACTGATTGTTTACCATGTTCATCTCAAATTAATACAAATCTGTTTTATACAAAGCAAAATGGACAATAATGCAAATCCATTTTTCAAGTTCAGCTGAATTGAGATGTTATAATTTTAATTATTGCCTCATTCTTCCCTCAAATCCTCTTACTGTGTTTTCCAAATGTCAAGTTTCCATCATCAGAAACTCCCTGTACAAACGAACACTTTGTTACTTGACTCAGGAAAAAAAGAAACCACATGCCTATTACAGACAGTGGAGTAAGGATTTGGAAACTTGTTTATTTGGCTGGATTGCAAATGGCCAGTTTAAGAAAACAGGGATCGTATTTTTAAGCACTACATAATGAATTATTAATTCCAGCCAAAACCATAAAAGCCAAAATTATCTGAAATTGGTGCTTCTGTGTACTAACCCCAAACCCAGTAATGGTTGCATACAGAATATCAGTTTCTCTTCTAGGCTTGTTTTTTTTAAATATACAGAACAGTAAAGGAGTGGCACTCATACTGGATAAACTGCCTTGGTTCAATCTGAAGGAAGACAGTGTAATTTTTTTGGGAATTGGCTTTTAGCCCTCTAAATAGGTTCTAATAAGATGCTTGCACACAGGAGAAAAACTCAGGCTTCATTCAGACATCATGGTAAACTATGACTTGAGCAAACTACAGTTAGTTGTAATCTCTCAATGTAGATGGTTCAAATAATTCAGAGGTTGCTGCTTGGCACCAAACCACAATTTCAGTCTAGATTGTGTCACTGTACTAACTGTGGCTTGTGAATTCAGATGTTAGAACACACTGTTATGGACAAACAGAGAAATAGAATTATAAGGAAAGATGGACTAGCCTCATTGTTGGCCAACAGAGAGGATGCAAGAAACACAGAAAACAGGGTTTACACACCAGCCAGAAATCATTTATTGATATATTATGCCCCACTGTACTCCCAATGGGGACCCAAAGCAGTTTGCAGCATAGTTCTCCTGTCCTGTTTTTATCCTCACAACAGCCCTGTGAGGTAGGTTAGGTTGAGGGAGTATGACTGACCCAAGGTTACCCAGCAAGCATCCATGGCAGAGTGGGGATTCAAATATGGGTCTCCCAAATCTTGCTTTGAGACTCTAACCTGACTCTCAATTTGTTTTTTAAGAAACAAATTGAAGGCTAAGATTTAGAGCTATGTGTAACCAGCTATGGGTACTTTGATTAAAAAGTTTTCATACTAATACCCGATCATTAAACAGGTGCACTTTATGTCCTCCCAACATGACTTCCCTAATCCAGCAAGAGTAATCTGTTTCCATCCTATGTCATGGGACTACTTACTGGATTGTCAACTGCATGTACAGGCCAGATGCACCTGCAGGACAAGAGTTTGACAGGGGTGTGCCTTCTCTTCTGTCCAGCAGCATTCTGAGGCTATTGCTCACATGCAACACCTAGTTGTAAGCAATGTGGAGTCAAGTCTGACTTGAATGAGTTACAATTATCTCAGAATGTCCCTAAGCAGCTTTAAAGATGCAAAGGAACAAGGTGCAAGGTACAGAGTTTATTTAGCTCTTATGGATCCCTGGCAGCATTAGACAGAAACCACAGGATACACTTAAGCTGAAAAAAGGTTTTTTTTATAAATGCACCTTGAGTTATTGAAAGAAACTGGATGTTGAGACTGAAAGAGAATCATTACATGCCATACACATGACAGAGGTTTCACACACGGTGTTTACAATCTGATAAAATATATGATTTTCCATTACGTAGTTCTTGCTGCAACACAAGATGTTTCTCTACAGCTCCTCTCTTTTTCATTCACAAGTACTCAGTGTGAGTCTGTGCGATCAGAACTGAAAACTAGGAAATGGCTATGCAGTTTGTACAGTACAGAAAGAAAAATCTATTGCTAACTCAAGTTCATGTCGCTTTTTGTTCAGACTTCATGAACATGGTTTTCTTTCTGATGCAAGTTTAAACACAGCCTGACTGGGCAGAATGGCAGGAAATAAATGTTGTCAATAAACTTACTGAAGCTGATAGATTCAAATTCTTTAAGCAGCCTGTGCCACTTAACTCATGAATAAGGGTTTGAAATATGGAACAGAATTTATCCTTTTTTACTCATTCAGACTAATTTTACTCAGTTATGTGGAAAGGAAAATGAGCATGGGTAGAAAAAAAAAAGTATGTATGAAAAAGTGGAAAACATGCCAAAATTTTGTATTACTAAGATAAATTACTGATCTTATTTGGCATGGTCTCTACAGTGAAAGTTGAACAACCTGAATATTGAGTGCCACTACACAGTTCTTTTAAAAGGTTATACAAATCTACATACTTCCTAAATCAGAAACTCAAACACTTCATTAAATGACAAGAGAACACCACTGGTGGTTACCTACAATTCCAACTCAAGCCAGTTCAATGTGTTATTAATGACCTATAACTCATGCTAGATAGTGACACTTCCCTCACACAGGTACTGGGGAGGCGATGTTTTCTTGCTTACAAACAGCCTGCTAACCTTAAACAACTTCTCACCTGCAATGATAAACTACTTAACATTTACAAGAACTCTGGTAACAAGTCCTGCAACAAACCAAGATGCCAACTTTGCTCTCACATAGATTCTAGTAACACTATCAGTGGACCTAGCAACATCAGCCATACCATATCTGGTTCATACTCCTGCTCATCCTCTATTGTCATGTGTCAGCTATGCCCTTCCACCCTCTGCATTGGACAAACAGACCAGTCCCTTCAACAAAGAATTAATCGACATAAGTCTGACATCAGAAATCACAACATTCAAAAACTAGTGTGGGAACATTTTAACCTTGCTGGACATTCAGTTGCTGACCTAAGAGTAGCAGTTCTCTTACAAAGGAATTTCAAAGGAAGATTAAAGAGACTGCTGAATTGCAACTGATAACGAAGCTCAGGGGTCATTTCCGGCAGGAGCGCACAGGAGCGGAGCTCCGGTAGTAAAGAGCCCAGGGCAACAAGCCCCACCCCCTGCTCCCAGCAGCCCTCAGTCAGAGCAAGAAGCAGCCAGGTAAGTTGCAGAGCCCCCCCCCAACCCCCGGCCCAAAACAGTCCAGTGGCACCTTTATGACCAAGTTTTATTCAGGTACAAGCTCTCCCTCCTCTGTGGGGACATATCTGCACGTCCCCCGTCCCCCCATAGCTAGCAATCCAAAACAGTCCAGTGGAGCCTGAGCGGTGGGTGTTGCCTTCTGACACACTTCCGGTGATGTCAGGGTGTGTGGCATATGCAAATAGGTTATGCTAATGAGTTATGCTAATGAGCTCCTGCACCTCTTTTTCTATGAAATGACCCCTGACGAAGCTCAAGACAATGCATCCTCCTGGCTTGAATAGACCTAAATGTCCTGTCTCGTTACCAAGGCTAATTTCTCCAAGCCTAGTACTTCTCTGCGTATCACACCTAATCCAATTTCACCTGTTATTGCTGTTTGCCTGCTAATGTCATTTGGCATCTAAAATTAGTCCACTTTCAAATCGATAGGACAAATGGATTCACATTCTAGCTGTATATGAAGAAGTGAGCAGTGACTCACGACACCTCATACCCTACCAAAAATGTTGTTAGTCTTTAAGGTGCTACTCGATTCTTACTCTTTTCTATTTCATTATCTACATAGATGTTGTCAACGACATTGACAGAAGGAACTGAAACTAGCCAAAAAATAAGGACCTTCTGCAAAATTACTGCTGAATCTATTAGAAGCTTCTATACCATACTCTCAAACACTGATGTGACCAAGTATTATGAATATAAAATTCAACCACTGCAGGGTAGAATGGCAACCCTGAAAAGAAGAGCCAAAAGGAACTACCTACTGTACGTCCCATCCAGCTCACAATTCACTTACAGCAGGAGTCCCCAAACTTTTTAGTCTGTGAGCACCCTTGAAATTCTGACAGTGTGTGGCATGCAGCCACAAAACGGCTGCCACAGGAGGTGAAGCCAGCCACAAACAGCTGCCGCAAATAACCAGAAAATTATTTCAATTATTTCTAGAATTCAGAAATAGTTAACTAATGGATTTATGTAGCTTAGTTTTTGTTCAATGAATAAAACTGAATCCAATAAACGCAAAACAATTAAGCAAGAATTTTTTAAAAGCACCAGCTTCATAACTATCTCAAAGCTGATGACCAGTTGATAGTCATTCCAGTAAATTACACCTCAGATGAAGCCCTATTTGCAACTTACCATAACAGGAATCAAGCTGTGCTACACCCTCTTAGAATGTCTGGGGATAAAACTTCTCCTTTAAGTACAAAGCAATTATTTTATTAAGAGCAAGACTGTGAGCGAGGAAGCAAATGAAGCAGAAAGAGCTCAAGTTAAAGACGACCTCATATCAGACATGTGATCCCATGTTACCTGCAGTTGCTGAGAACTGTCATTAAGATTGTCCTCCCGCCGCCTAGCTTCTTCCAACATCTGTGCACTCTTTTTTTTCTCCACTTGTTCTTTGTGCTTCAGATTTGCTACCTTTTTATTCTGATCTTTAATTTGCCTGCCAAGGAAAAAAAGAAAAGACAAATGCTCAAAAACTGGGGAAACCTGAATCTGAAAAAAGAATTTTTCGAACATTTTCACATATGATATTAATTTTAGTATGTTCTCAAACAACTGATATTTTGAAACTTTTAATTGCTTCAATTCTACCATATGCTAATAGTTTCTAGCATCCCATTTTTGTTACAAATAATCTACACAAAGTACAATTTCTATAACTGAATACAACTGAATTCTTGTTCCAGCCAGAGAGCAGCAGTCCAGACTGTTGTTCTGGTAACTCAGAGACCAACAGCTTTGCTTCTTCAGCCCTTCTGAAGTACATGCAATACATGTAGAGGTTCTTATTGCCATCAATTCACAGCTGACTTATGGCAGCCCCAGGTGGGGTTACAAGGCAAGAGATGTTCAACAATGGTTTGTCATTGTCTATCTCTGCTTCACAACTCTGGTACTCCTTGGTGGTCTCCCATCCAAATACTGACCAAGGCTGACACTTCTTAGCTTCTGAGATCTGACAAGATCAGTCTAGCCTGATCTATCCAGGTCAGGGCACGTGGAGAATTACAATTGTGTTATTCCAGATTCCAAGGTTTCCCTGAATGACATGCAATTTAAATATACCACTTTCTAATGTTTAGCTTTCACAAACAGTGGATGAAGGGTACATGCAAAGAACCAAGGCAATCAGAGATGAGATAAAGTCCAAGGGTTACCTGATAACAGAGTAAAAAGTCACTGGGTCGAGATAGCATGCACCCAAGGGTCTTAAATAACTTGAAAAGGATTTTAAAAAACACGCACAGTGTCATGATGTTTTTGTATCAATTTATGACGCAGCCACAGTTAGAATGTAGAGTGTATTTATAGTTATAAAGCCTCAAAAATATTGTACAACTGGAAAAAAGGCAACTGAAATGATTATGATTGAAGCACCTTCCCTAGGAAGACAAAGGACTTCATTCCAAAAGACTTCGGTGGCGGTGGCGGTGGTGGTGGGGAAGCATAACATACATTTATAGAATTACAAATAGAAACTGTCTCATAGGGGACAGAAGCTCCACCCCCCCCAAGCCAGTTCCCATTTCCTCTCTTCTTTCTCACCTCTCACCCTCTCATTGGTGACACCTACTCCTTTCCCCCCACTGCTTCAACTCCACCACCACCTGTTAGATAAAGACAGTAATAGATGAGGACAAATGACACTCCATGTGGAGGGGATTCCACAGTTTTGGTGCCACAACAGAGAAGCCCCTTTCTGAGATTGACACCTGTCTAGGCTCAGACAGGGGCACCTGAAGCAGGGCCTCCAACGATGACCATAATGGTTGGGTAGGTTCATATGATGCATGTTGTGAAGGAAGTGGTGAGAACTTTTTTGTTTTCTCCAATATTAAGATTCAAGGCCATGAAATGAAGTTGGTGGGCAGCAGATTCAAGGCAAACAGAACTGAAGGGTATGTGTGGTGCTTTCACTCAACATATAGTGATGTGCTATATGATGTGCTTTCACTCAACAAGACAGTGGTGGCCACCAACTAACAAGATCATAACAACAAAAATGGACATGAAGGAGAGAATTAGTTTCAATATTTATGTAATTTTTGCCTTCAGCAGTAGAAGTAACCATGGTCAAAGCATCAGACAGATACGGCATTGCAGATGTATATACAGTTCTCAGAAAAGAAAAGAAGAGAAAAGAAAAAAGAAATGCCTAGGATGAAAGCAAAAGAGAAGAGTTCCTGGGTAGAGGACAAGGCTGCTAAATTTACACACTCAAACCTCACAGAGATATTTCGTAAGTCACAGCATTCACTTCTAAACTACTTTGCAAACAGCTACTTGAAAGGATTTATTGGCCCTGTTACCATGCAGCAAAGAACAAGTAAACCAGAACAATGAAACATAACAAAATTACTAGAGCTGCTGTTTTAGGATAACAGAGGGTTTAGAACTGTGAGCTGAATAGTCATTCTTTAGCTATGTGCATTTGGATACTCTTTGACTATTCTTTTGGCCTTGTTGGCTTCAAGAGATGACCCAGAAGAGATTAGGAACCTGCCTGCATCCCATATGTTCTGTTGACAGGTACGTGAAGAGGCCTTGAGCTAAGGTTCAGCAGATTTTCTCTTTGCAAGTGTGCCATCTATGGAAGAAAACTGGGAGTGTAATGACAGATTTATATTGCACTCTTCTTCCAGTTCAAGGCAGAAATTTTCTACAAACTGGAACAATTCTATCTATCCACATCTATTTTCAGTATCGACATGGTAATGTAGTACAGAATTCATTTGTTGTTGTTCAGTCGCACAGTCGAGTCCGAATTCATACTTCAGTATAAAGAAAGCCACAAGAAATTCATTGAAAAAAGCAGGCAGCAACTTCCAATTCATTTATATATTATTCATAAACCAATTTCTTTCTTAATATAATTTTCTGCCCCTGTCAGTTTTATGATTTTACTGATGTTTAAAATGTTAATACCTACATTAATCTGCATGACAATTCAATTTGCATGATTTGCCAATTCAGACCATTAACGCACCTCAAGACAAGCCTCTCCCCTTTAACCTGCCTGTACTATAGTAGCAATTCAACTGCTATAAATAAAAAGTTCCATTCCTTTTGTGTATTGGAGGGAAAAATCATAAGCCACTTCCAGCAGGTCTTTGGAGAGGTAGCGAATAAGTTTTCCAAATAAAATTTAAATGTGTAATTTAATATTGGAATTAAACAGATTTTTTTGTCAGGTGGTAATGGTAATTAGTAATTAGGAAATTAGGTAATTATTAGGAATTAGGGAATTAGGAAAAGATGGCAAGAATGCACAGGAGAACTATACAAGAAGGACCTCAATGTCCTTGACAACCCCGATGGTGTAATCACTGACCTTGAGCCAGACATCCTGGAATCCGAAGTCAAATGAGCCTTAGAAAGCATTACTAATGGCAAAGCTAGTGGAGGTGATGGTATCCCAGCTGAGCTATTCAAAGTCTTAAAAGATGATGCTGTTAAAGTGCTGCATTCAATTTGCCAGCAAATTTGGAAAACACAATAGTGGCCACAGGATTGGAAAAGGTCAGTATACATTCCAATCCCAAAGAAGGGCAATGCCAAGGAATGTTCAAACTATCGCACAATTGCACTCATTTCACACGCTAGCAAGGTCATGCTAAAGATCCTACAAGCTAGGCTTCAGCAGTACGTGGATAGAGAACTGCCAGATGTACAAGCTGGGTTTCGAAGAGGTAGAGGAACTAGAGATCAAATTGCCAACATTCGTTGGATTATGGAGAAAGCAAGAGAGTACCAGAAAAACATCTACTTCTGCTTCATTGACTACACTAAAGCCTTTGATTGTATGGATCACAACAAACTATGGCAAGTCCTTAAAGATATGGGAGTACCAGACCACCTCACATGTCTCTTGAGAAACCTGTATAAGGGCCAAGAAGCGACAGTTAGAACCGGATACGGAACAACTGATTGGTTTAGCAAAGGAAAAGGAGTACGACAAGGATGTATATTGTCCCCTTGCTTATTTAATTTATATGCAGAGTACATCATGCAAAATGCCAGACTGGATGATTCAGAAGCCGGAATTAAGATTGCTGGGGAAAACATCAACAACCTCAGATATGCAGACGATACCACTCTAAAGGCAGAAAGTGAAGAGGACCTAAAGAGCCTCTTGCTCAGGGTATAAGAGGAGAGCGCAAAAGTGGGCTTGATGCTCAACATCAAAAAAACTAAGATCATGGCATCCAGCCCCATCACTCCTTGGCAAATAGAAGGAGAAATCATGGAAGCAATGACAGACTTCACGTTCCTGGGATCCAAGATCACTGCAGATGGTGATTGCAGTCATGAAAGTAAAAGATGCCTGCTCCTTGGGAGAAAAGCGATGGCAAACCTTGACAGCATAATAAAAATTAGAGACATCACCCTGCCAACAAAAGTCCGTATTGTCAAAGCAATGGTATTCCTAGTAGTACTGTATGGCTGTGAGAGTTGGACTATGAGGAAGGTCGAGTGCCGAAGAATAGATTCTTTTGAATTATGGTGCTGGAGAAGATTCTTGAGAGTCCCCTGGACTGTAAGATCAAATCAGTCAATCCTAAAAGAAATCAATCCTGACTGTTCCCTGGAAGGCCAGATATTGAAACTGAAGCTCAAATACTTTGGCCACCAAATGAGAAGGGAGCACTCACTGGAGAAGACCCTGATGTTGGGAAAGATTGAAGGTCAAAGAAGAAGGGGACGGCAAAGGATGAGATGGTTAGACAGTGTTATCAAGGCAACGAACATTTAATTAAGCAAACTCCGGAGCACGACGGAAGACAGGAGGGCCTGGCATGATGTGGTCCATGGGATCGTGAAGAGTCGGACTCGACTGTGCGACTAAACAACAACAACAATGGGAGGGATGGTAGGTAAAACTGGTGAGGAAAGTTTTAAGGGTAATAGATAAAGACAGGGATAAGGATGGGGCCAAGGCATGTGGAAGGGGGATGGTAGGGTCCATGGCTGTTTGCCTGCATGGTCTATTGCTGATGTTTCAAGATACTGCAGAAAATAAAAGAAACGCTTCAGCACCTTTCCTATGAGGAAACACTGAGGAATCTAGGACTTTTCAGTCTAGAAAAAAGGCAGGTAAGGGGAGTCATAAAAAAGTCTTATAATATTATGCATGTAGGGAGAAAGTAGACAGAGCTTTTTCTCCTGCTCCCATAATATTAGAACTCAAGACACACCCAATGGAGTTGCTGAGAAATAGTTTCCAGGCCAGATAAAAGAAAATCTTTACCCAACAAGTAATAAACTCTGGAATTCACTGCTAGTGAATGTCTCGATGGCCATAAGCACTGAAGGCTCTAAAAGCAGGTTAGACAGATGACTTCCACATCAATGTTCCCTCTAAGCTGAGTTAGTGTGAGCTAGCTCACAGTTTTTTTAGCCTCTGACTCACACATTTTTGTCTTAGCTCAGGAAGGGTGG